CCATGTTTGAATACTTAAGCCCTGGCCAATGGCGGGACACAAATTTACGTTCGAATAGCGGGAACTCGTTGCACCGTGCATTTCTGTGCTGCAAAGAAGAAATGCATCCTGCAAAGGAAACTGCAAACTGGCGGGAACTCTCTCCTGCACGCGGGTTCTCAATTGCAGCAGAACACTCTGCCGTGCAAAGGGGCTCTCATGTAGCCAGGAAATTCCATAGTGCTGAGGCACAAAAATCACTGGGTTGTGACACCCGCAAGTCTGAAAATTTGGCTTCAGGGGAGTGTGGCACCTTTCCCCTGCTGCCAAGTTTCCAGACCAAGGGGGAGCTCCCCCCGAGCCAGATATTGTGATCCTGTGCACTAGATCAGGTGCACAAGGCAGCATGGTGTCCAATCCCAGTGTGCAGGGGTGATGTAAGGCCCCAGGACCCAATCCTGACATGCAGGGACAGCATGCTGACCCTGATATATAGGGCCCAGTAGGGTCCCACATCACTCATCTGGCTTCCCAGGGCTAAAAGTTTGAGAACCACTGATTTTAAAACATTATCATAGTAGCTAGGGTCAGGAGGGACCTGAACAGATTATCTAGCCTGACCCCCCTGCCACAGGCAGGAATGAATGCTGGGTTCACAAGACCCCAGACAGGTGATCGTCCAACCTCCTCTTGAATTTGCCCAAGGTACGGGCGAGGACCACCTCCCTGGGAAGTTGGTTCCAGATTTTGGCCACCCTAACTGTAAAATATTGCCTTCTGATCTCCAACCTAAACCTATTCTCCATCAGCTTATGACCATTGTTCCTCATCACCCCAGGTGGTGCTGGGGAGAAAAGAGCTCTGCCTATTAGCTGTTGATCCCCCCTGATGAGTTTGTAGGCAGCCACCAGGTCCCCTCTCAGCCTCCTCTTGCTGAGGCTGAACAGGTTCAGGTCTTTCAGTCTCTCCTCATAGGGCCTGCCCTGCTGCCTTCTCACCAAGCGGGTGGCCCTCCTCTGAACCCTTTCCAGGCTGGCCACATCCCTTTTGAAGTGCGGCGCCCAGTACTGGACGCAGGACTCCAACTGCGGCCTGACCAAAGTCGCATAGAGGGGGAGTATCACCTCTCTGGACCAGCTTGAGATGCACCTGTGCATGCATGACAAGGTATGGCTGGCTGCGGTCTGGCATTGGTGGCTCATGTTCATCTTGTTCATCATGTTCATCAGTAATGACTCTGAGATCCCTTTCTGCCTCTGTGCTTTCAAGAAGGGAACTCCCCAGCCTGTGTATGCTGTGGATTCCTTCTCCCAAGGTGCAGCACTCTGCATTTGTCTACGTTGAACCCCATCCTATTCTCGTCTGCCCGCTTTTGTAGTCTGTCTAAATCTAGTTGCAGCCTCTCTCTCCCTTCAAGTGTGTCC